TAGTAATCAGAAGCCACTATCTTGTTATTATTCTTTTTTTTTTTTGAGGTTTAGTTATTTTTCTTGAATTGTCAAAGAGTTCATGACTTCTCTTGTTTCTTTCTTGTATATCCTTTGCATCTATCACACAAAATCAGTCCACTTCTTCACTGTAATCTCTCTAGTTTCTTCCTCATTCTCACGACTTCCTTCTCTTCTCACTACATGTCTCAAAAATGTCCATTCCTGGGGTATATAAGAGCACTGTGTTCTCTTTGGTGACATGTACATACTGGTTCACATGCAGTTCAGATGGTAAATGTGGAGAGTATATCAAATATAATCTTTCAGAGAGCAGGGGTGAAAATAATTATGTTTTTGATAGCACAATGTCTTTTACATAACATGAATGGGTTCAGGTGCACAACACAACTTTACACAAGCCAGTACTACTGTTGGGCTCCATCTTTTTGTCCTGTGAGCAACAGGAAGATTAAAGGAAGGCTTTTCATGTGTATGAGTACATGGGAGCTCCTGACTCAATTTTGTGTTTCAAGAAAGAAAATAACCAATTATACTTGGTTTCCCAAAGGACAGTGGCTTGTTGCTAGGCAACTTCTTAATGAAACTCATACTGTGATAACTAAATACAGCTCCCAGTTAACTTCCAGGTAGCCTCTGATTATAGAGGTAAGCAGCTGAAACAATCCATTAACATTGTCTCTCTTTCCTTTGACTGTTGGGGCAGGAAGGAGACCTCTCACGTGGGGAGATGTGGAGGGGCTGGGGGCATAGCTCAGGTGACACACAGACTACTAGGGAGTGTCAGCAGGTGACATCCAAACAGTGGTCTGCCTTTACATGCCTCATGCTGCCATCAGGCACCAATTTAAAGTTTTGGCTTTAAAGCACAAAGTCATTTGTCCTGTCTGTCTCCCCACTTTCTTAGTAGTCAGCTAATGAAGCAGCCAGCATCTAAAGATGTGTGTGCCTGTGTGTTTAAAAAACATTAAAATAAGTGCTGCTTCTAAGATTTCCAGCAGGTTATGCTGACTCTTTGTTCTCTCCAAACTCATCTCTGCATCAGCAGTTTTGTATTTGATTTGGAACCTGTTCTAAATATGCTCCCCCAAAGATGGGAGGGCATCACACAGAGTGAAAAAGGCCCTGCATAGACCTTCAATAACTTGCATGCTTGCCATTCTTTCAGAGAAAAGCTGGGTTTCACACACACTCCACTGCTCAGGAGAACTCACTCACCAAGCTGTCCTCCTGTTTGATGATTGCTGTGCAAGACATTCTAGAAACTTCTGGTGATGCTGCTTGCTGTTAAAAATGCATTGTCAATTCCATTCACCATTGCAATAGAAAGAATAAAATATCTAGGAATAAACCTACATAAGCAGACAAAGAACTGTATAGGGAAAATTATAAGACACTGATGAAAGAAATCAAAGATGATATAAACAGTAAGAAGAATCAATATTGTGAAAATGACTATACTACCAAATGCAAGCTATGTATTCAATGCAATCCCTATCAATTTACCAATGGCATGTTTCACAGAACTAGAACAAAAAATTTCACAATTCGTATGGAGACACAAAAGACCCTGAAGAGCCAAAGCAGTCTTGAGAAAGAGGAATGGAACTGGAGGAATCAACCATCCTGACTTCAGACTATACTACAAAGCTACAGTCATCAAGACAGTATGGTATTGGCACAAAAACAGAAATATAGACCAATGAAACAAGATAGAGAGCTCAGAAATAAACTCATGCATCTATGGGTACCTTATTTTTGACAAAAGAGGCAAGAATATACAATGGGACAAAGAAAGCCCGCTCAGTAAATGGTGCTGGGAAAACTGGACAGCTACATGCAAAAGAATGAAATTAGAACACTTCCTAATGCCATACACAAAGATAAACTTAAAATGGGTTAAAGACCTAAATGTAAGACCAGAAACTATAAAACTCTTAGAGGAAACCATAGGCAGAACACTCAATGACATAAATCAAAGTAAGATCTTCTATGACCCACCTCCCAGAGTAATGGAAATAAAAACAAAAATAAACAAATGGGACCTGATTAAACTTGAAAGCTTTTGCACAGCAAAAGAAACTACAAACAAGGTGAAAAGACAACCCTCAGAATGGGAGAAAATAATAGCAAAGGAAACAACTGACAAAGAATTAATTTCCAAAATATACAAGCAACTCATACAACTCAATACCAGAAATACAAACAACCCAATCAAAAATTGGGAAGAAGACCTAAACAGACATTTCTCCAATGAAGGCATACAGATGGCTAACAAACACATGAAAAGATACTCAACATTGCTCATTATTAGAAAAATGCAGGTCAAAACTACAATGAGATACCACCTCATACCAGTCAGAATGGCCATCATAAAAATGTCTACAAACAATAAATGCTGGAGAGGATGTGGAGATAAGGAAACCCTCTTACATTGCTGGTGGGAATGTAAATTGATACAACCACTATGGAAAATGGTATGGAGACTTCTTTAAAAAACTAGGAGTAGAACCACCATCAGTCAGTTCAGTTCAGTTCAGTCGCTTAGTCATGTCAGACTCTTTGTGACCCCATGAATCGCAGCACGCCAGGCCTCCCTGTCCATCACCAACTCCTGGAGTTTACTCAAACTCATGCCCATCAAGTCAGTGATGCCATCCAGCCATCTCATTCTCTGTCATCCCTGTCTCCTCCTGCCCCCAAACCCTCCCAGCATCAGGGTCTTTTCCAATGAGTCAACTCTTCGCATGAGGTGGCCAAAGTATTGGCGATTCAGCTTCAGCATCAGTCCTTCCAATGAACACCCAGGACTGATCTCCTTTAGGATGGACTGGTTTGATCTCCTCGCAGTCCAAGGGACTCTCAAGAGTCTTCTCCATATGACCCAACAATTCCACTACTAGGCATATATTCTGGGAAAACCAAAACTGAAAAAACAAAAAACCAAAACACATGTATCCCAGTGTTCATTGCAGCACTACTTACAATAGCTAGAACATGGAAGCAACCTAAATGTCCATCAACAGATGAATGGATAAAGAAGCTGAGGTACATATATACAATGGAATACTACTCAGCCATAAAAAGAAACACATTTGAGTTAGTTCTAATGAAGTGGACAAACCCAAAGCCTATTATACAGAGTGAAATAAGTCAGAAAGAGAAAGATAAATATTGTATACTAATGAATGCATATGGAATCTAGAAAGATAGTACAATGAATTTATTTTTAGGGCAGCAATGGAGAAACAGACATAGAGAACAGACCTATGAACCTGGGGGTAGGGGAGGAGGGAGTAGGTAAGATGTATGGAGGGAGTAACATGGAAATTTACAGTACCGTATGTGAAATAGACAGCCAATAGGAATTTGCTGTCTGACTCAGGGAACTCAAACAGGGGCTCTGTGACAATCTAGAAGGGTGGGATGGGGAGGGAGATGGGAGGGAGTTTCAGGGGGGAGGGGACATGGGTCTACCTGTGGCTGATTTTTGTTGAAGTATGACAGAAAACCACAAAATTCTGTAAAGCAATGATCTTTCAATTTAAAAAAAAAGTGGCAAAAAATATGTTTGTTCTGAAATTTTGAAATTTGTATTTTGAGAGTCTATGTGGGTTGTCTGAATTAACTATAACCTTGGTTTCCTACTGTTTTAAGGGATCAAGTATTTATTCTGTTCAGAAACAGAATGAAGAAAACAGTTCTGCTATCCAATAACTTGTCAAACTTGTTTAGTTTGACAAGCAGTGTTGGAGAAGCAGCGTCTGCTTGATGAGAATAAGGGTGATCTTTAATCAGCTTATCCCTCTGAGTCTTCCAGGACTGGAGCTTCTCTGACTCAGCTATTGGTGATGGTGTGGATCAGTATTGATTAGATTCTAAATGTATAGAGTAATTCTTATTACTCAGAAGGAAACCCACATAAAGTAATATAAGAACTAGTTTTGTTAAATATATTTTACATTGCCCTTAAAATGATAAAATTTTTTTAAGATATATTTTCTAAACCACCACAGGTGGGACATCTTAGGTAACAGTTAGGGGAGTAGTCAAATAAACTGGGAGTTTGTGAAGATGCAGAGACCAGAAAACAGAAATCTGCCCAGGTACCAGGGGAGATGGGTGGAGTGTAAACCTTCCTGGGTAGGGGAGGGCTTAGGAAGATGAGAAGGTTATAAATAAATGGAGAAGCTTGTATATAAAAACTCTCAATCCTTCAGCATGCCAGGAGAATATGTATTATGTAGAGAGGAGCACCATGAAACAGTGATATTGATGTCTCTTTTTTTATTGGAAACTAAAGGATTTGTCCAAAGGTGACTTTGTGATTTTTAAGTGTCATATGCTGGTGACTGAATGATTGGTTATATTGTGGAAGGCAAAACAGAGCTGCTTTTGAAAATGGATAATCTCACTGTCATAATCCCATTATGACTGTCAGTTAATTGTAAAATCCATTCCTCTTCCCAACAAGCAGTCATTGTGAACATGGTTTATTCAGAGTTTCAACCCCAGACATGCCCAGGGACCACTCATGTGCTGCAACATGGGGGCTCCTAGCCACATGCTCTAGTCTCCATGAACAGTATGACTGTTAGTGACGGAGATCATGCTTACCACAGACACTAAGCTGTTTTTCTGTAACAAAACTTGTGTTATTAGACAACAAAAATACATATCATGGGAATGAAAAGAGGTTTTAAAGTTCAGATTCCAAACTATGTCCAAAAAAGGCATTGAAAGAAGTTAACTTTTGAGAGGTTTGCAGTTTAATAAACTTACAGTCCCTTTTATCATGACAAATGATTAGACTTTGATTTAAAAATTCCAAAAGACTTCATTTATTGCGAGACCTGGAGCCTTTATGCTGTCATGAAATGTTCTATTTCTTGAAGGGCGAACACAAAACCCAGAGGAGGAAGATGGTGTGCAGGTGTAGTGACAGGAAGCACTAACCACTCTTACAACCTGTCTTTCAGGAGAGAACAGTGACCATTCGGAGACAGGCTGTGGGAGGATTTGGACTGAGCATCAAGGTAGCTGCCTCTCCATCTGTCCTACAGAGCATGTGCTCAACGCCTGCATTTCTGTGAACTTTAATTCTTTGTGCTGTTGTGCTTGTGCTGTCATGCCTGACTCTTTGCAACCCCATGGACTGTAGACTGCCAGGCTCCTCTGTCCATGGGATTCTCCAGGAGTGGGTTGCCATTTCTTTCTCTAGGGAATCTTCCCGACCCAGGGATTGAACCCACATCTTCTGTATCTCTTGCATTGCAGGCAAATTCTTTATTGTTGAACCTTCGGGAAAGCCCTTTAACTTTTTGCTCATTGATAATTAATTAGACAAGAGTGCCTATAGAGAACTTCTTAGTATTTGCACTGAGATGTAAAATAAGTAGGCTCTCAAAATCTTATCCACTTTTGGATTTAGAAATTTTAGAAAAGTATTTTGGAGTCACTCAGTCATGATCAACTCTTATGGCCACATGGATTGTGGCCCACCAGGCTCCCCTGTCCACAGAATTCTTCAGGCTAGAATACTAGAGTGGGTTGCCATGTCCTCCTCCAGGGCATCTTCCTGACCCAGGGATCAAACCCAGGTCTACTGCACCACAGACATTCTTTACCGTCTGAGCTACCAGGGAAGCCCCATTTGGGAGATTTACCTTACGTGAAATTGAATGCAACTCATTAATTTTCTTTATGTGGTTTCATCTAGAATTTCAAGTACAGTCCTCAAGTGTGCATATCTTGTAACCAGTAAGAGCAGAAAAATCTGGGCTGTCAGTGAAAGGAGCCAGGATGTGTGTCAGGTTCATGTAAGGTCTGATAATAAGTTGGATATTGGTTTGATTCCAGTTGTCTTTTTCTTCTGTGCAGTTTTCTTTTTTTTGTTTAAGAAATTGAAAACCTCATGTCCTAGTGTCAAGTATGCAGGAAGACTCAACGTTTTAACTTCTGAATTATTTTTAACATTGACTATCTCTCTCCTTTTCTATTCATTATCAAATTTTAAAGTGTTTTTCTTTCTGTATGTTCTTGATTATTAAACATGTAACATATCTGAAATTTAACATCATTGAAACAAAGTATACATTTTTAAAGGATGGAAAATCACATAAATATTGAAAAAAAATTACCTCAGTGATTTTAAATGCCCTTCAGAAACCCACATCTGTGCAGAGATCAATGGAATGTAACTTTATCTTGGTTGTTGGTTTAGATACTTTGCTTATGTGGGATGAAAGTCATACATCTCAGGCATATATTTCATGAAATTTTAATACAACTCAAAGTATAGATGCTTGGAAAGTAGAACTCTAAGCTTGGTGAACATCAGCTCTAGTTATATTATAAAAATGGCTCAAAAATCTGATCAGCATGGAATAGCATGATCTTGTCAAGCGATGAGAGTATTTCTATCTAAAATGTTAATTTTAAGATATATTTTTTACTTTCACTTTATCATCAACTAAGGCCTATGAGAGACGTAGGACAAATTATAAGGTGTGGAAATGATGCAGTGGGAATAAACAGAGGCAAGTTTTCTTGTTGTTGCCCTTTTTTTCCCCCCACATTTATTGAGATTGTCATGAAGGATCTAAAGGTACCACTGAAGATGTTGTCCATGAAAAGAGAACAACAGCTGAATGTGGCTGAAATCCATTCATGACAGCAGTTTCATCTGACATCAGCACTAATATTTCTGGTAGTGGAGCTGTGTGAATTCTGTGCAGGATGGAAATGTTCTTCTCTTTTTATTCAATTTCCATTTAGAGTTAAACCCAATAATACAGTATTACTCATTTTACTGAAATATCACATTTAAGCCTAGACAATTCTTAAAATCTTAAGAATTTGCCAATAAATCATTTCAGTTTAATATTTGCATTATTTCAGCACAAACAAAACTCTTATACATGTAATAGAGTTATTTTCTAAATCAAATAAGTATATATTTTCCATTGAAAATATAGGCTACAGAAGCAATATTTGAATTGTGATAGGAGATTTGACAAAAACATGAAACTATTTTATAATTCTTGTGACAAACCAACCAACCAGAAATAAAAACATCAATATTTTTATTTAGAATATTGTCCATTCAGCCTGAAAACTTTCCTTATAGGGTTTTCTATTTTAGATTTCTCAGTACTTACCACTGACTCTTGCTTTTCTACATTAAAAAAAATTATTTTAAGCTATCATTCTATTAAGGTATTTCAAAATGCAATTTTTTATTTATTCATGCATTCAGTTATTTTAAATGGCAACATTTTATGCAAATTCTTTTACCCTGTAAATTGGGTAAACCTACTGTGATTATCTATTTGAACTATTTCCTTTGCATCTGAGAATTAAATATAAGGGACAGTTTAAGAAAGTATTCTGGGCAAAAAGCAGAATTCATACTTTAATGTTGTCGATTTGTTTGCTTATCTACCAATTTGACAAGTCTAGCAGCTGACCCGGGGAGCGGTGGGATGAAATCTGGAGGTGTGGGCACACACGTTTACACCTGGCCCGGCCCTGTGTCTCCCAGTGACAGACAGTTCAACCCCCAGGCCCTAAAGTGAGCTGAGAACAGAGAGGAATGCTCCGCCAGCAGGCCTGAGACTTGACCCCTTGGTGAAATGCTCCCAGGGTCTGTGTGGGGTGCACCCTCTTGCCCTCTGTCTTCCAGTCCTTCCTTTTACACCATCTTCACTCTCATACTGCTTTTTAGAGTTATTCCCATATCTGCTATAATTTTGGATCTTTTTTTTTTTGGCAATTCTTTGGAATTCTTCATGGAGGCTACCAATACTCAGTCTTCCTTGATAAAAATATCTCTCAGAAGTCACAAACTTGGGTGTTTTCCCCTTGTATTCATTTTTTTTGTTTGTTTGTTTGCCTCTCAGTAAAATACCAAGCTCTTCTAATTGTATTTTTAGATTTCAATAAAAGGCTAGACATAGAATCACTTAACTCTCCTCTTACAATCACCTACTCTCCTGGGTTCTCAGCCTGAAGCCACTTTTCTGAAGGGCTCAGGTTCCTGCATCTACCTGGTTTATACCCTCAACTTCTCTGCAGGCACCTTCTGTCCCCACTGATCTTCACGTGGCCTCTGGCTCCTGTCCAGGTGTATCACTAGTCCTACCGCATCTTCGGGTCCTTTTATCTGGATCATCCAGATACTTACATTTCTAAAAATAACATAATCGTTTTCACATTACATCCCTGATAATCACTAGTGTTTCTCCCCCAGGGGATCTAATAGCCTTGCATTTTTCCCCATTCTGCTTTTAAGAGTCACCATATAATCACCTTAAAGTAAGCTGTCGTCTTGACCTCATCAGACTTTAATTTTTCTTCTGTTTATCTCTTAAAGTGCAATAACATCCATTTGCATACTATTAAATCATACCTCTGGTTATTGTGATTAAGAGAATCACCTTTTAGAGAAAGAGTGTTTTGAATATTATTATAGAAAGATGTCTTATGGAGTATTTTTCAAAAGACTCAGCTTTTCTTACCTAAACAGTAAGTTGATGGATTAAGGAAATGTTTGTGATCAAAGATAAGATTTCTATCTGAAATCCTGAACTTTGCAGCAATGTGAAATTCTAAGTATTATTACCATTAAAATCTTATCATTTATAAACAATAATTTCTAATAGTTATTAACTGCTCTTGAACTGCCAGATTCTGAACTAACTATATTTTGTGTCCAGAAAGTAGACAGCTGTTGTTGGACCTCTATAGACAACAAGATTAAGTATTAAGAGGTTAGGTTATTTACCCATTTTTTGTAACAGGCAGAGCTGCACCTCAACCCCCATCAAAGCTGATGACAGAGTCCTGACTCCCAATGAATATTCTCTTTAGCTGTACAACCAGCACGAAATTATCTCTATGCCCTCCATTTGAAAACAAAAACAATGTTTCCTCTCTAAGTTATTCGCATTCTGGTTTACTTACAACTGAAAGAGACTGATTGAAATGTCCAGCAGCAAGTGAACAATATCCTAACATCAAGGACTGGGTATTAATTGTATCAGATTCACCAAATAAACATGCAGGTCTTCACAGTAGTTGTCATAAATGTCTGTAGTTTAATTTATTAGTGATTTCAGGGCAAAAGTCTGTAGATACCAAGTGTTGCTACAAGCACACACATATTTGCATTAATTTCCTCACTTTGCCTGGTTCTCACTCTTTGTCTGAGGCTTCTGTCTCCACCAGGGTCAACATGGATACGTACCTCTGCACCACAGAAACAGGAGGGTAACAGGGCAGGCAGTAGCGCTCAGTTAGAGAGTGCGCACTAGTTCCAAGGGCCAGGTAAAACCACTGATGAATTATCATTCAATGGGTGATTTTCTAAATTCAATAACATTGAATTGTAGTTCACATACCATACAATCTACCAACTTAAAGTGTACAAGTCAGTGGTTTTTATTATGTTCACAGATGTGTGCACTCCTAAGTCAATTTTAGAACAGTTTCATCAACAGAAGAAGAAACCCGGAGCTTTCAGCCACCGCCCCCCACCCCGTCTCAGCTCTGAGCAGCCAGCAGTCTGCTCTCTGCCCCTACAGAATTCCCTATTCTGAATTTCCATAGGAAAGCAATCATAAATCATGTGGGAAAGACCATTAACTTTGCCATAGCTAAGCTGAGTGGTTTTGGCATATCAGCACCTCATTTAGATGAATAAAAACATTGTCCATGTTCTCAAAATTATGTTCCTTTAGGTGCTTCTCCTGTACCTGTCGACTCTCTGTGATTATCTGTTTACAAGTATTCTCCTTTCTCTGAATGGATCTGTAATGTTGAACTCTATTATCTTTTTCTTTCTGGAGCCCAGAATATGACTGATTGATTGTAATGAAAAGATTGAGTTGAAAAGATTATTTGGCAAGATTCCCAGTGTTATTAAAAACATAACTGAGTTTGGTTTAGTGGAATTTCACACTTATACTGGAAAAGCATTGTATAGTGGTCAAGCTCAAAATGCTTTAAGTAAGGCCTTATATCCTGGTACCTATAGAACTAGCTATAGAATTGATTATGTTTTGTGAAAAGGCTCTTTCAAAACTGAGTGGTGTACTTTTTAATATTTTCTGGGGTGCACTTTAGATTGTCACCTCACTTTTTCTAATCTCATTTTACCCTGGATCAACCGAGTTCGAATAATTCATTTACTTTCTATAAACTGTGGCCACAAGCCTTGCACCCTAACCGGCCTCAGGGTATGTCGAGGAGAAGATGATGAAGGGAATCTGCCCTGACCTCAGGTCGTTCATATTCTAGAGGGAAAGGAGACATTGATCAAAGTGTCACACAGAGAAATGTGGTCCCAGGCATGGCCCAGGGCATGTGCACAGAGGCTGAAGAAAGGACTCTGGCTTTGTGTGAGCAGGGTCTTAACCTTACACCAGGCTAAGGGTCAAGGGGAAGAAGCATTGAGGGCCAAGGGGTCATGCTTGCGAATGAGGACGAAGGTCCAGGATAAAGCAGAGGGAAGGCTGAGGTTACTGGACTTTGGCTTTTAGCCCACGTGCAATGTGAAGCCTGTCGCCAACTATAAACAGGGTGAGTCATGTTATCTGCTTTCTGTCTGGAAGGTTTTGAATCTCCCTAGTTAGGTCCAGAGCTAAATCTAATTTACTTTGATAGAGCTGGACTGCTCTCACATTTCATTAAATAAATGAAGGCACAGTGATCTTCAGTTCCAATTTTATCTCCTGAGTGTTGTCTTAAAAATCTCTCTCTAATCAATTAATAAAGTCATCTCCTTAAATTAGCTTTAAAATTCTCTCAGAGAATTTTAAATCTCCAAATGTCTGATTAAAAAAATAGTAAACATAAAACATTTGGAGTCAAGTCATTGAAATTTCAGAAGAAATTTTACATATAAAAGAAAAATGTTGACCAAACAGGAGTTGGTTACACTTTATTATTAAAAGATAGTTGTAAGTCTCAGGTATTGAGGGAAGGATGGATAGCTGAGTTGACCCTCAGAAAACTGGTACCTCTAGACCAAACCTGGGAGAGACTGCCCACTCTCCCACCATGGTAGCCTGTGCTAAATACCTGAGCATCAAGAAAACCTTTGAATTCAGTGCTGCAAGGAGAGAAAACTGCAAGAAGCAAACACAGCTGAAGGAAAGAGCTATAACGCCAGCTGCTGGCCTAGAGTGACATACATAGGGGTCTCCTCTGCCCCCAACTCGAGAACCATATCTGGATGGGTCTGTTTTCTCTCTTTATGTCACATAAAACATCATCACTCTATGCTTTGTTTTGACCAGCATTTTCTTCTAAGAAATGGAGATGTATTCTGAAATTTTTTCCCATTTTCAAAGTATCTCTAGGAACTATCTGTAATCATACACCTTTGAGTCCATCATTCACCTTCTTCGTTTCTACTCAAAATCTTTCTGCAAAGTATTTTCAAGAGTGAAAAATTTTAGGTCTGAGAAAGCTTTATAGTTCATTGTTTCACTTATTCACTCAACAAACATTTCAAAGCTTAAGAAAGCATCATTATTCCAGGCACTGATATTACCTCAATGTAGGAAACAAATTTGATCCCTAGGTTAGGAAGATCCCCTGGAGAACAGCAAAGTAACTTACTCCAGTGTTCTTGCCTGAAGAATCTCATGGACAGAGCAGGCTGGTGGGCCACAGTCCATGGGGTTGCAAAGAGTGGGACGTGACTGAAGCAACTTAGCATGTGCACATGAGCAGGAAACAAATAGCCAAACCAAATAGCCAAGACAAATACATAAGTAAGTCCATCACCATCACAGAATTTACTCTGTGGCTGGGGACAAGGGAAGGAGAAAAAAAATACATGATGAATGTAGGAAATGAAGAAGACAGTAGAAGAGGAGAAGCTGATGAATATAATAGGAGAAGATAGAACAGAATGCAGGTATGGGGAACCCAGAGCCCTAACCCTACTCATGAAGGTCCTTGGGTCTTGATCTGTGCGGTTTCCTCTGCTCTGGAAGCACGTCTGTGCACTATGCCCTATGTCCCAGTCCTGGGCTCTGATCATGTGAGGATCGTCCTAGACAGGTTCAGGGCGCTGTGACTCAGACCATGAGGCAAAAGCAGGACCCAGAGCCGAGGAAGCTCACCTCAGAGACTCTGCCCAGAACTCGTGTGGGTGGGGGGTGAGTGTCTGCTCAGTGGGATGTGGTGAAAACAGCAGACTGATGGGTGGGTTTGAATTTCACCCTGGGTAACACAGCTTTCAATATTTGTTTATCACATCTCTTCCTAATACCCCAGAAGTAGAAAGGACTACTTGTCAAGTAAAACTTCAGAGTCACTGCTTTTCTCGACTATTGCCTCTCTTGGGCTTTCCAGGTGGCTCAGTGGTAAAGGATCCGCCTGCCAATGCAGGAGACGCAGGTTCAATCCCTGGGTCAGGAGTGTCCCATGAAGAGGAAACAGCAACCCACTCTGGTGTTCTTGCCTGGGAAATCCATCCCATGGGCAGAGGAGCCTGGCACTACAGTCCATGGGGCTGCAAGAATCTGACACAACTGAGCATGTGTGCATTGTCTATTTTATTTTTAAATTTATTGAAACTCAGTGCTAAAAATGGACATTCATGGGAAAAAATGTCTATTCTAAAATAAATTTTGCCCTTGAAGGGAGAAAGTCTTAGGGATTTACTTATTCTGAAGCTGCAGAAGCCCCAGTGGAATTTAGATCTTCTTTTGAACTACCCACATTAAAAGTGCCATCCTTACCTTCTATGTGAAATCTTACTGTTTAATGAACTTACTTGATTTTTTAACTATTGCTTTCAACCGTCTCAACTCTGTTACATAAAACCATAATTTATACAGTTACTTCAGGAATTTATTTTCTTCCACATAAGTTCAGTTACTTATTTTTCTGTATTTTTTCCTATCTCATTTGGTCCATTAGCCAAAGCACTACTTCATTATTCTTGATAGCTTACTGTGTTCTTTAGTTTATGCTTCCATATAATACTGATGACCTCCCCGCCTCCATTAAGCATATGCACACTCTGCCTTTTGTCCAGTTTGTGCAGGTAGAGGTCTGTCTAGCCACTTAGCATTCCAAGGGGCCATTGCTTTGTTCCCAGCATAGAACAACTTAGCCAGATAATGGAAATGCATAATTGTCTGCTGTTTGGAACCTGAAATAAGAGTTTCTACAATGGATAGAGAGCATGGCTGGTCATTGAAGGAAATCTCTTCTTAAGGTATCACCAAATTAATCTTAAAAAACTAAAAATTTCAAAGTCAACTATTATTAATTCTTGGATGTCACAGTGAAATTCTAAACAGATAAGCATCTTGAGAGTCTCCTTAATAGAGAAATTCCACGAATTTATTTAAATTCTATTTAGTGTCTTTTCACCTGCTATCCTTGGCCTGTTTAGTTTCCTAACTAAAAGCTGAGTTCTTATTCTTTTGAGATTAAAAAGTGAAACGTGATTTTTTTCTTTTCAGGGGGGAGCAGAACATAACATTCCAGTTGTGGTTTCAAAAATCTCGAAGGAGCAGAGAGGTAAAGTGTTCAGATGGTGTCCTGTGGCTGCTTCCTGAGTGAGTCACAGTCCTGAGGAGCAATATTGTAGTTAAGAACCATGAGATTGTACAAAATCTCTCATTCCAGTTCCCACGACCAGGCCACATGTGGCTGGTTCTAACTGTGGAGTTTCAGTCTCTTATTCACACCCAGTCCCCCGCTGTGGGGCGGGCTGGTCTTTAAAAAGAAATATGGAACTGATTCTATTGTCAATGGATTGACTATCCAGATCTAGACATTTTCATAGACACCTTAAACTTATAGGAACATGAGAACATTTAGTCCTCCCTCCAGACTGTAAGACCTGAAATGATGGGACTAAATGGAAGTATCTCAGCATGTGTTTCAGTACTTGAGCTGAATCATATGATTATTTTTTGCATTTCCATTGCTTGTGGATCTTTTAAGATGCTACCCTTATAGACCATTTTACTTTTTCCTTTAATTACTTTTTCCTTTAATCCTCCTCCATCTTTGCCTTTGCCCTCAATCAGTTTTGGCTTTATTGAATTAAGAACTCTTACACCTGTGTGAAGAAAGTAAACGAGACATAGTCAATTCTCCTTCTCCATTCACAGCTGAACTGTCAGGACTGCTGTTTATTGGGGACGCAATTCTTCAGGTATACATTTTACCATTATTTTCCGTGTATCACCAAGATACAGTCAGTTCACAGTATGCTCTTCAAATTCTCTCTCTCTTTCCATTGCAGATAAATGGGATTAATGTGAGAAAATGCAGACATGAAGAAGTGGTGAGTCTTCTTTACCTTTTCCTAATATTGTTATTTTCCCCATGTGCAAATGATTTATGGCATTGATAAAAACTTCCTTATTTCATTAGGATCATATGAAACTGGTCCTGTGTGATATCAGATTTCCGAATAATCTCTTACTTGTTTTATTTTTCACATAGAAACAGATCAGTGACTATCACCCGGAACAAAATGCAATTCAAGAAATACTAAAGGAGGGCTATTTGCTATGTTTCCCAATTAATCCCCACAGTTTTCCCTTGCAGCTCAGTCAGTAAAGAATCTGCCTGCAATGCAGGAGACCTGGATTTGATTCCTGAATCAAGAAGATCCCCTGGAGAAGGAAATGGCGACCCACTCCAGTATTCTTGCCTAGAGAATCCCATGGACAGAGGAGCCTGGCAGGCTACAGTCCATGGTGTCACAACAGTCGGACACAACTTAGTGACTAAACCACCACCAGAGCATGTCCACTAAGCATATCTCTAGGTGAAATATACCTCTAAATCTTTGCAAATCTTTGAAAGTTTATACATTCTCAGTTTCTCAGTCCTGTCTGAGTCTTTGTGACCCTATAGACTGTAGCCCGTCAGGTTTCTTTGTCCTTGGGATTCTCCAGATGAGAATATTTGAGTCTGTTGCCATTTTCTTCTTCAGGGCATCTTCCCCACCCAGGGTTCAAACTGGCAGGAGACTTAAGAGACACGTGTGTGTGTGTGTGTGTGTGCGTGCGCACGTGTGTGTGTGTGTGCGTATGTGTGTGTGAGAGAGAGAGAGACAACATTCAGAGACAGTTGAGCTCAAGACTCTGGTTTAACACTTAGCAGCTACACAAAAAGGTCAGCGTTGTTTACTGTGAGTTTTCTTGGATGTTGGTAAATGTGCGGACCTGAATTCCGAGCCTCGGATGTCCTAATTCACTCCGTTTAGGTGACCCAGGAATTTGTCTTTCAGCAGCCAGCCCAGTGGTTTCATGTCAGCAACCTCTAATCGACACTTTGGGAGAAGCTGGGAGGTGGAGGAGCTTCCGTGGGGCTGAGAGAGGACATAAAAAGATGATGCCGGAAAGAACAGCCAGTGTCGGGCGCTTGGGAAATGTTTTTCACGGTTGATTCAATAACACTTATAGACTCTTCACTGAATTTCCATATCAGCTCACATGGGAAAGGAGAGAGGAGAAATTATGTTTAAAGGTTTGTACTCAGGGGTCAAACAAAATGAAAATACCCTGAGCCTTCGGCTTTCCACAGCTTCAGTTCCTTTGGTTTGTGAGGACACAGCTCCTCTGCTAACAGCTAGTTGGAGAAGACTCTCCTGACATATTTACATATTTCAGACCTCAAAGAGGCAGCTTCAAGTGTTTGGAAAGCTCCAGCTTCACAAGCAAAGTTCTGGAGGGTTCTTTGTGGAACAGGCAAGGAGTGTCCCTTTGCATCACTCCTCTGCTCTCTCAAAAATCCTACTTGGCCCCCACTGGCATCCCTGGTGAGCCTCGCAGAAAATGTATATACTTCAGATCTTAGGCCACACCAAATAGGTACAGGGAAAAGCAATATTTGAGAACAAATAAAAATTCTCATTTTTAGACAAATGAGAATTAGCACAGCACAGACCACTCTGTTCTGAATACATGTAAATACCAAATAAAGCCCTGTAAGCAGAGATATTTTAACTTTAGTCTTTTTTTTTCAGAAGCACAGAGAGATGTAAAACTCATTGTCCAGGGAGCAAGAACAGGTGCATTCTCTCCAAAAAGATGCATGCTATCAATGGAGTCCGGTTTGTGATTTGTTCTTCAGAGGTACACAGTAGCTTACAGGAACTGTGTGGAGCTTTGATTGAATAGATCAGCATGGCCTGAAAGAGTTGTCATTGTTGTTCAGTTGTTCAGTATTCATGTCCAACTCTTTGCGACTCCATGGACTGTAACACGCCAGGCTTATCTGTCCTTCACCATCTCCTGGCGTTTGCTCACACTCATGTCTATTGAAACAGTGATGCCACCCAATCATCTCATTCTCTGTTGCCATTTTCTCCTGCCCTCAATCTTTCCCAGCATCAGGGTCTTTTCCAAGGAGTAAGTTTTCTCATCAGCTGGCCAAAGTATTGGAGATTCAGTTTCAGCATCAGTCCTTCCAATGAATATTCAGGGTTTATTTCCTTTTGGATTGACTGATTTGACCTCCTTGCTGTCCAAGGGACTCTCAAGAGTCTTCTCCAGAACCATGATTTGAAAGCATCAATTCTTCGGTGCTCAGCCTTCTTTATGGTCCAGAACTTACATCCGTGCATGACTACTGGAAAAACCATAGACTTGACAATACAATCCTTTGTCAGAAAATTGATGTCTCTGCTTTTCACTATGCTACTAGGTTTGTCACAGCTTTTCTTCCAAGGAGCAAGTGTCTTTTAATTTCATGGCTGCAGTCTAAAAGATTGGAACATGCTTGAATGGTGTTCATTCTATTTCAAAGAAAAGGGACTTGAGATTGTATTGAAAATTGCATGTGGCCCTTTATAATAAGCTTTTATTCTTTTGAGAAGTTTAAACTTATCAGCTTTGAAATGTAGATACTGATTTTCTTACCTGGTTCCAGTCTTTCACTTTGCAACAGTGATTAGCAAGTTTTTATCTTCACTGTCAATTATCTAAGTAAGCAAACTGCTGACACCTCAGTGGGGCTGACTTTAATTAAATGTTTAAGACCAGACTTATGTGGGCAGAAAAAGGCACCACAAGCTGAGAGGTATGGGTAGTTTTAGTGCCTCAGTCAGTGCCTCGGAGTCCCTGATTTAGAAAGAAACCGAGAAGATATGACAGTAGGTTGTTTGCGCACCTGACTGTCTCTTGTTCACCTGCGCAGGTCACGGCTGTTAGAAGCAGCATCATTCTTAGATGCCTTCTACAGGAAGCCATGGCTTCTATGATGAGCTGTAGGCTGGACTGTGTACGTGGGTATCCCTCCTCCTCACCCCTGGGTGCTCGGGATTGTGTTAATGGAATTCTTTACCCAAATGCCTAGAAATAGATCATCATGGCTTCTGCATCTGTTTCTCATGTTGCCAGTTGGGGTGAGTGATCTCAACTCCAGGCTGTACCCACCCCATTCTGGGAGCCCTCTGGATGCAAGAAACCAAGAAAGTAAAGCTCCCAGTTTCCACATCAAAAAGGATTAGCACAGGCACCAGCTTTGAGACGTACATGTCCTGAAAAAGAGTTTCATCCATTCTTGGTTGTTATGATCTTACTCATACAAAGCATTAGATAGTTAGAAGCGAAAATAACTATCACTCTAATTCTGAATTTGTGAATTTGAACCAAACTCTACCAGAGTGTGTAATTTTTACAACAGCAGAATGAGGAGCTCAAATTATGTAAATTAAAAGATTCATGCAAGCAATGATATCAAATATTGATAAGAGAAACATAAAATATTGCTTAATATAATTTTGATTGTTATAATATGTGCTTAATTCAAATTTTTGATAGGAAAAAAAATAACATTTATCTTTTTAGCTCAATTAGAAAATGACATTACAAGGGTTTCTATCACATCATCTGAAAATGAGGCATTAGTTTGAATACTAGAAGTTTTGTGAGTTACCAAGAAACACATTCAGGATGTGACTTGGGACTACAGATCATTTTAGACCTTCACAGAAAGATTAACTTGTCACTGAGTTACACACCATGTTTTACCTGACTGCTGACAATTCCCAGTATGTTCTCAGTTTGGAAATAGGTTTTAAGGTCTAACCAATTAATATTTTCCTCAAGGACTCTGGCCATACTGGACTTTTTTTTTCTTTGGATCAACTACCACCAACAAAAGCCACACATGAAATAATTTAACTTTTAATATTTCCCACTGGTTTGGGAAATGTTAAGTGCAAAGGCAAAAATGTGCGAAATATTGTTCATTGAATCTGTGAATTTTGAAAAGCAATAAAATATCCAGAACTTGCCTTATTTACATCCTTAGGTTTTCATTAACACCTTTAGGAGTTCCTCCTCACAGGTCTGTCCCCTAATTAGGTTATGAATAGAAACAGCACAGGAGATAAGTTAATTAATTTTCATTTTCCTCCTGGCTACAGATTCTCCGCCGGTCCCTACCTGGCTATTAAGAGGGGTTGGTACTTTATTTCATTTCTTTGGTTTTTGCCCAATGTTTCTTTTCCTGTCCCAATGTTCAAGCCAGATTACACATCACAGGGAGTTGTGAAGTCTCCCGTGGCTCCTCCGGGCCGTCATAGTTTCCAGGACTTCTTTTTTCGATAACACTCACAGGTTTGAGGGGTACTGCTCAGGCGTTTTGTGCAGTATGTCTCAACTGGGAGTTTTCTGGTATTTTTCTTGCAACTAGACTGGGTGTTTGTGTTTCGGGAGGAAGGCCACACAGGCACAGCCCATCCTCATCCCATCTCACCACATGTACACACCTTCCTGACTGTGTGGCCAGTGCCGGGCAGAGGCTGAGCGTCAGGGCTCTCTGCTCGAGCCCCCGCGTGCTCCGCCCATGCTCTGCTCTGAGGAAGGGGGTCACTGTGCAGACCCCGCACTCAGTGGTAAAGTGCTTCTGTCTCATGGAGTAGGCTGTCTGCCTACGTTCCCTGGAACTCTGCTTCACAGGAGATTTGTCTGTTTATCCTCAATGTTTAAACTTAATTCCATCATTCTGGTAGGTCAGGAAGGGTTGTGGACCTTGACCTTGTACTCTGGGCTATAAGCTCTTTTCACGTGGTTTTAGAGTTGCTTTGCAATAGTCCTTGGGATTGGGGGTTTTTTCAGCACTTTCTCAGTCTGTGGCAACAAAAGTTGTTTCAGGCGCATCTTGCATATTTCCTGCCAGGCCAGGAATCAGCTGTTTCTCCCAGAGGCCCTGCTTCCCTTTGTTGGAGAACATCTGAGCAACTGCCTTCTTGGAGCTGGGTGCTCGTTGCTCTGGAGCAGCTGTGCCTCCAAGGCCCCTCGGCTCACAGAGGACAGGAAGCGTGTG